GGGGGTGGAAATTTGTGTGGGCAGGCACAATACGGTGGGAGGAGGCAGAAATTTGTGTGGGCTGGCACAAAATAATGATGGGCGGGAACAAGATGGTGGCAGGAAGGGGCGGGAACTCTCAAAATAGTGGGAGGTGCTCAAGCACTCCCTGAGGTGGAGGATATTGTTCCCTTGCTCTTTGGAAGCTTCTTCAGTGGCTTTGTAATTTTTTTTTTTTCTTGTGTGTCCATAAATATATAAAAATGCATTTGGGTAAAGGTGGTGGACAGCTACTTTTTAATATGCTATCCAGTTTCTGGTTCCTCTTGCTACCATCACAAATGTCTTTTGATGATTTTGATGGGAAACAACACCATCCCTGTGATACAGTGTCATTCTCTTTTTCGGTGCATGCCTATGACAGAAATTTTGAGAAAAACCTCAACACACTTTATGGCTTTTATGCGAGAGCCCAGAATATATTTAGAGCTTGCAAAGAGTTCATTGTGTTCTAATAACTTAATATTTTTGGCTCTACGTGATTTTTTGGGGTATTTTTATTTTCATGGAGTTGATGGATACGGTACTTCAACAATGAGTGGGGCCAGCTGGCTCTTTGCCCTCCAGGGTTTAAATGGTTCCCTGACCTCTTTCGTTTTGTCTGGAAAGCAATTTGTGTAAACACCCTGGAAATAGTTAATGTGGCTCTCACACCACTGGGCACTTCTTGTCCTTACTACAAAATAAGTGCAAAAAGGTTTTTGACTTCAGCTGAGTGGTTTATAGGTGTTGTGTTTGAATGTTTAATTTCTAGGCTTTAAAAAAAAATCTGAAGGACCAGAAGCCTTTAAATATTTGTGTATGAGAAGAGTATATGCATTTATTAGTCATTTTAGAAGTACTAAGAACCTCTGTTTGAGTAAGAGGAAAATAAAAAACTCCTACTGTAGTTCTAAAATAGCAATTAATACTGCTCTTCTGGGTCTCTGAAAATCATTAAAGTATCAACAAATGGAATATTTCACTTACATGCCATTTCTTGATTCTCTAATTGATAATTAGGCTAGCAATTAAATCAGCTGGGTCTCCTATCATACCCGTAAATGCTTACTCATTGTCCTACTTAATTAACTCCTGCTGCTTAGTCACATTTATCTCAGGAGCCTTCTTATTGCTTTGATGCTTTCTGTGAAAAAGATAATTTGTTAATGAAACAATCAAATTTGTAGTTTACTGTGTCAGGGCTTAAACTGCAGCAGCATTTGTCAGGAGAGACGAAACTTCTTATGCTAACACGGTGAAAATAGAACTTTATAATGTTCAAGTCTTTTGCACTTATTTCTCAGATGAGGAAAGGCAGTAAATGAGTAGTTATGAGGTCTTATTAGGCTCTTATGAGCACAGGGCAATATTAGAATTACGCTGTGAGAAAAAAGTGCAATAGGAGTTTAATGAGCTAATAATGATACTGAACGACAGGAATACGGGTCTGTTGAGATTCCAGTCTTTTGCTGAAAGTCTGGATCTTGTAGTTGCATGCACCAGCATTTGTCATCATGTGAGAAATGCTGAAGTAGAGCCTACATCACTCAATGTATCATCTTTAAACAGAATCAAGTCTCAATACTTGGTGCTCTTAAGACGGATAAATTCTGTCTGGATGTGGCTATAAATGCTGAAATTCCAGTTCTTCCTGTCCTTTCTAATTACGAATTATCCGATTTATAGTAAACCTGATGGATACACTTATGTTTCTATTCTGTTTGGTGGATGAAGTATATATGCCCTCCAAACATTATTTGTTCTGTGGATATGGAGACCTTTGTCACTTGCAAACTGTAGAAGCTGTTTGGATTAAAATCTTTTAGTAGCAGGCATTATCTCAGAACACAGCTCCCCAGTTCTGGGTGCAGAGAGCTTGAAGAATTCTGCCCTGTTGCAGTTTTAAAGAATATGGCACCACTTGTAGCCACTGTAAAAATTTCTTGTAAATGCCAGTGTGCAACACTTAACAGAATTCTCCTGTCAGTATGTGCTGAAGTACCTAGGCACCATATGAATTAAAGATGAAGGAGAAAGACACAATTTTAAATTTTGTTGCATTGTATAAACTGAAATCAAACTCTTCGTGGTCTTTGAAAGCATTTTTTGTTTCAATACAGTGCATGTTTCAAATCAGAAAGCGTCTCCTTTTTTTCCCTTATGCCTGAAAGGCAGGGGGTCTGGACCATTTTAATAGCTTTCATATCCTACTCTGCAAATATATTATTGCTGCACAATAGTTTCTTTGCATGAGAATTGCTTAAATGATTCAAAATGGATTGGAAAATATATTTCAAGTTTTAATTTTATGCACAGAACATTAATGAGCAGTGCCCCTTAGAGACTTGCTGTCAGTTTAACATATTCACAATAATCTCAACACAGATGTTATTCCATCTAAATCCTTTTAGAGGGAAGAAACCAGTAATTTTTCCTTAGAGAACGTCAGAAAATATGTTATTGTTGAAAGTTACATTTTGATCCCAGAATGCTATATAAAAAAAATCATTGCTAGGAAGAATAAGTAGCACATTGTTTCTGAGGTAAAATGCATGTGAAACTTTTTTGAGCTTCCTGTAAATTTTAAAACAAGTGAATGTTCTGTTAGTCTCATGCAATTTTGCTTCCCTTGAGGGTGACTACAGGCTGTGATGGGATATCAGCATCTAATTGTGTTCTAATTTAAGAGAGTATTCCTTATAAGTTCAGATTTCTCTATTTGTAGCTGTAACACGATGAAGTTTCTGTCTCTTTTGGATACATTTCCCTGTGCATTATCCGAGTGTGTAAATTAAAATACTTGCTAGAAAGAAAGTATATACTTGGAGTAAGAGATTTTGATGGAAAATGCTTTAAGTACTCTTTCTGTTTTGTGTTCTGTGACATGTCTATATTTTCTGTTTTTCTCTTTCGTGCACTCATGTTGTACCCTGCTTGCTTGGTCTTGCCTGAGAGCAGCTCTGACAGTGAAATTATGTTGGGTACTATAAACATGATAAGATTGTCAATATTATGTTGCTTGATATTGGAGGAAATATTTTCCACTTCATCCTAACTAAAGTTGATCTCCACTGGAGAAGCTGCAGCCGGTTCCCTGGATAGACCCCAGCCATATGGGAGTGGTGCGTAGGTAAATGTGAAAGAGGACATTTGGGAAAGTGTTGGATGACTCAAAGCCATGGTTCTGCAGTTTTCCCAGGTTCTAAGAATGCTTCTAGGACTGCATAAGTGAAAGAATCCCAGTTGGGAGTGGAGCACACAGTGCACCATCAGATTGCTGGTTGGAATAAGTCCCATCAGGTTTTTCAAAGTTTTTTTGGAAGAGGAGGAGGGTGAGACATGAGAGTGCAGTTCACCCATGACCAAAAGCAGGAGAATTGCCAGTTCCAGTCAAAGAAATGTTTCAGCCTCTTGTGGGGAAAGAAGCGGCTCCTACGGCCATGCTGTGGGTACTTTGAGAGAAATAA